TTGAACTACAGTAACCTAAAATGGAGACACCTAAGGTATAAATAGGTGTACTTTTAAATGTTAAGACACAGAGGAGAGACTTGGAGACAGACGCTGCTCCATCTTAAAATGACAGAGAGGCTGACATGATGACATGTTCAGAAGGGTATGTTAACCTATTAATGATATTTGCAAGCATGTAATTTAATCTTATAAACTCTGCTATAATGGATTTTATATTTATATTTTTATATAATAAATATCCAAAAGACAATCTTCCTTCCAAGACAATCCTTATTTTATATTGTATTTTCAATTATTTATATATGGTAAATAGAGGATCTCTTACTAACTATATAAAATTATGGCTAAGATATCTGTATGGTTAGCCCTACTAAGTTCTATGCTTTAAGACATTATAGTGGTAAATAAGGGAACCACCCACGGTTACACAGGTGTTAATGAAAACAGACGTAAATTGACAGATAGTAAGTTGTTGGTAAACGTATGACGAGTTGTCGTGTGGAGCCGTGGCCTGACGAGGCAAGTCGTGAATCAAGCCCCCGTATCTTAATAACCACTTATGGTGGTGCGTGGCCTTGTAGAGGCAGTAAATAACAATGTTAAAGATGATATATTAGTACCTGATAAACACAGGAAATAATGGACCAATAACCGGTTTGTAGTCAGGGACAGATTAACATAGGGGCTGATGGAACTGCAGCTCCAGGCCCATGGAATAGGCCCAATGATTTGAAATTTTTTTTTTTTTTTTTTTTTACACATTACTCTTAGGGTTGCCACCTGGCTGGTATTTTATGGTATTTGAGGCTGCCTGGCCAGTGCCAGTATTGCAGTAAAACCGGCAATACAAATGCCGGCATATTTCTATGTATAAACAGAGAATACTCTGCAATACCTGCGCCGGCCAGTAGGGGGTCACTGTGTGTGGCGAGAGGCAGGGATAGGAAGTTACTCACTGATCCGCGGGGGAGCAGCTACACAGCACAGAGAGTCCAGATAATCCAGATAGCCGCTCCCAGCCTACAGCTCAGGGAAGTGAGGGATGGGGCAAAGGCTGCAGGGAGACATGGGGACACTAGGGGACACTGGGTGACCTGGGAACACTGAGAAACCTGGGGACACTGGAAGATCAGGGGACAGTAAAACACTAGGCATTTGGGGACACTGGGAGACATGGGAACACTGAGACACATGGGGCACTGAGACATTGTGATACATTGGGACACTGTTACATAGAAAACACTGAGACATGGGGACATGAGGCGACACTTGGGGCACTGAAACACTGTGATACATAGGGGACACAGACACTAGGGGGTACTGGGAGACATGAGAACACTGGGAGAATAGGGGACACTAAGACACTGGGAGACACTGGTAACAATCCATCTTTTATTCAGCAGAATAAATGTGAGTAGGTTTTGGTGATTTTACAGAATTTTCTCTTAGGTCACTCCTTGTGTTTTACACACATACACAGTGGTGTATCCTGGTTTTGTGCTTCCCTAGGCAGGACAAAACTCACTCATGACATCATATTCCGGCTTGCGAGGGAGCTGAGCAGACAGCTCAGGGGAAAGTGCTCCCTCGCCAGCGCCGCCCGACCGCCCGCCTGGCTTGTCAGTTAGCCGCAAGGCTAACAAGACATTTGCCCTGGGCATTTGGGGCGGCTTTTTTTGCCACCCCCTGTAAAATGCCGCCCAAGGCAAATGCCTTGTTTGCCTCGCAGCTAATACGTCCCTGCGCATACATAATTAATTATGCAAATTAGTAAGGGCGGTATTTTTTTTCCAAGAAAGGTGGCAACCCTAACTATCCTTCACATACTCTTGCTTAAGTATGAAAACTTTAGAGGGATGTATGGGAACACAACTTGTGTGGACTGGCTGACAATGAAATTAATTGAGGTAAAGCTGACTTTGTGCACAATGCCAATGATCTTGCTGCTTCAGTCTCTCTAACACTGTGACATGTTCCATTTCTTCTACACTCACTACATACAGCTTTTCTCTGTCCCAGACTCTATATACCAGGAGCTTCTGCCTGCTAGTAAGGAGGTTAGGAGAGGAATGGACCAGCGAGTGCTAGGGGACAGTCCTTAGAAAGCGTGGAGCGAACTCATCGTTAGACGCATTTATGCCAAGCTCAGAGTGCTGTCTGCATAGTATGCCCTTAGTTGGCCAGCCTGCATGATTGGCAGGCAGCCTGACATGCATACATGTCAGGCTGGCCTTCCAATTCTTTAGGCAGACACGCCCCCTTTTTAAGGCATGTTCGCCTCTTTTGGCAGTTCTGATTACATGATTTGCATCAGTGGCTCACCCTTTTACCCCATCCTGCTTCACTGGACACTGCTGTTAGGGGTATGGATTTACTTGAAAGATGAAAGCATAAATTAGAGAGAGAATAGCATAGAGTGTGTGTTTTCTCATAGCTGCACCCTATGAATTTCCCTTCAGCACTACTTCAGCCAGATACATGACGATTGGTAGGTATGTCTGTTTTAGTATTTTTGGTCGATAGGATTCTGTAATTAGGCCCATCATAATGGTCAGCACCAGGCCCACTGGGCTCTTAATCTGGCCCTGGTTGTAGTGAATGCCCTTGAGAAACCTGAAATTGAGGCAGCATATTAAAAGGGGAAAGAATATCTAGAGTGATATCTACTATATATGAGATGTTTAGGACCTACCCCTTATTAATATATAGCATGTACCAATGACGTAAAGAGAATTCTGATTGTGGACTTACTGCATTTACCAGTTATTAAGGCAAAGAGGCTGGAACCGGGCTAAACTACCAGGTGAAAACAATGACTAAGATTGGGGCAAATAAGAAGCAAAAGCAGATACAGTACAAATGGTAGCCAATTAATAAGTACCTACTATAATTGGTAACTTTAAATGATTAGTCTGACCAATACGTAAGGGGGAGGGGGACATAAACCTAATAGTTTATCATAAAAGGCAGAATTTGAATCATATTATGGAATTTGAATCATATTATGAAAATTGCAATAGCTTCCCTGAGATTGGCATAGTGACTGACAGGTGTAAACATACATATACATTGTATAGAACTTGAATTGCTTAAGCTTAAGCCTAAAGCCAGTAAATACACAAATTTGACATAAATTTCTGTTCATCTGTCCACGGTAAGACAAATTGTCTATAAATGGAGAAAGTTCAGCACTGCTGCTACGCTCCTGTAAAGATGACTGCAAGAGCACAGCGCAGACTGCTCAATGAGGTGAAGAAGAATCCTAGAGTGTCAGCTAAAGACTTACAAAAGTCACTGGGAAATGCTAACATCCCTGTTAGCGAATCTACAATACGTAAAACACTAGAATGGATTTCATGGGAGGATACCACAGAGGAAGCCACTGCTGTCCTAACAAAACATTGCTGCACGTTTACAGTTTGCACAATAGCACCTGGATGTTCCACAGCAGTACTGGCAAAATATTCTGTGGACAGATGAAACCAAAGTTGAGTTGTTTGGAAGAAACACACAACACTATGTGTGGTGAAAAAAAAGGCACAGCACACCAACATCAAAACCTCATTCCAACTCTGAAGTATGGTGGTGGGGGCATCATGGTTTGGGGCTGCCTTGCTGCGTCAGGGCCTGGGCGGATTGCTATTATCGAAGGAAAAATGAATTCCCAAGTTTATCAAGACATTTTGCAGGAGAACTCAAGGCCATCTGTCTACCAGCTGAAGCTCAACAGAAGATGGGTGTTGCAACAGGACAATGACCCAAAGCATAGAAGTAAATCAACAACAGAATGGCTTAAACAGAAGAAAATACGCCTTCTGAAGTGGCCCAGTCAGAGTCCTGACCTCAACCCGATTGAGATGCTGTGGCATGACCTCAAGAAAGCGATTCACACCAGACATCCCAAAAATATTGCTGAACTGAAACAGTTCTGTAAAGAGGAATGGTCAAGAATTACTCCTGACCGTTGTGCACATCTGATCTGCAACTACAGGAAATGTTTGGTTGAAGTTATTGCTGCCAAGGGAGGTTCAACCAGTTATTAAATCCAAGGGTTCACATACTTTTTCCACCTGCACTGTGAATGTTTACATGGTGTGTTCAATAAAAACATGGCAACATTTCATTCTGTGTGTGTGATTAGTTTAAGCAGACTGTGATTGTCTCTTGTTGTGACTTAGATGATGATCAGATCACATTTTATGACCAATTTGTGCAGAAATCCATATCATTCCAAAGGGTTCACATACTTTTTCTTGCAACTGTGTGTATATATATATATATATATATATATATATATACACACACTGCTCAAAAAAATAAAGGGAACAGAAAAATAACAACCTAGATCTGAATGAATTAAATATTCTTCTGAAATACTTTATTCTTTACATAGTTGAATGTGCTGACAACAAAATCACACAAAAATAAAAAAATGGAAATAAAATTTTTCAACCCATGGAGGTCTGGATTTGGAGTCACACTCAAAATTAAAGTGGAAAAACACACTACAGGCTGATCCAACTTTGATGTAATGTCCTTAAAACAAGTCAAAATGAGGATCAGTAGTGTGTGTGGCCTCCAGGTGCCTGTCTGACCTCCCTACAATGCCTGTGCATGCTCCTGATGAGGTGGCGGATGGTCCCCTGAGGGATCGCCTCCCATACCTGGACTAAAGCATCTGCCAACTCCTGGACAGTCTGTGGTGCAACGTGATGTTGGTGGATGGAGCGAGACATGATGTCCCAGATGTGCTCAATTGGATTCAGGTCTGGGGAATGGGCGGGCCAGTCCATAGCATCAATGCCTTCGTCTTGCAACAACTGCTGACACACTCCAGCCACATGAGGTCTAGCATTGTCTTGCATTAGGAGGAACCCAGGGCCAATGCGCACCAGCATATGGTCTCACAAGGGGTCTGAGGATCTCATCTCTGTACCTAATGGCAGTCAGGCTACCTCTGGCGAGCACATGGAGGGCTGTGCGGCCCCCCAAAGAAATGCCACCCCACACCATTATTGACCCACTGCCAAACCGGTTATGCTGGAGGATGTTGCAGGCAGCAGAACGTTCTCCACGGCGTCTCCAGACTGTCACGTCTGTCACGTGCTCAGTGTGAACCTGCTTTCATCTGTGAAGAGCACGGGGCACCAGTGGCGAATTTGCCAATCTTGGTGTTCTTTGGCAAATGCCAAACGTCCTGCACGGTGTTGGGCTGTAAGCACAACCCCCACCTGTGGATGTCGGGCCCTCATACCACCCTCATGGAGTCTGTTTCTGACCGTTTGAGCAGACACATGCACATTTGTGGCCTGCTGGAGGTCATTTTGCATGGCTCTGGCAGTGCTCCTCCTCTTCCTCCTTGCACAAAGTTGGAGGTAGCGGTCCTGCTGCTGGGTTGTTGCCCTCATACGGCCTCCTCCACGTCTCCTAATGTACTGGCCTGTCTCCTGGTAGCGCCTCCATGCTCTGGACACTACGCTGACAGACACAGCAAACCTTCTTGACACAGCTCGCATTAATGTGCCATCCTGGATGAGCTGCACTACCTGAGCCACTTGTGTGGGTTGTAGACTCCGTCTCATGTTACCACTAGAGGGAAAGCACCAACAGCATTCAAAAGTGACCAAAACATCAGCCAGGAAGCATAGGAACTGAGAAGTGGTCAGTGGTCACCACCTGCAGAACCACTCATTTATTGGGGGTGTCTTGCTAATTGCCTATAAATTCCACCTATTGTCTATCCCATTTGCACAACAGCATGTGAAATTGATTGTCACTCAGTGTTGCTTCCTAAGTGGACAGTTTGATTTCACAGAAGTGTGATTGACTTGGAGTTACATTGTGTTGTTTAAGTGTTCCCTTTATTTTTTTGAGCAGTGTATGTATACACGCGTGCACATACACTCGCAGACACACACACATTCACAGACACACATTCACAGGGCAACTAGAAAAATTCACAGGCACTCCAAATGTGAAAGCTGCAGGCAGATTTATTGCAACAAAATGCACAGCAACATTTCGACCTAACAAGAGGTCTTGGAGTGCCTGTGAATTTTTCTTGTTGCCTTGTCATGTTGGGATTGCTGGTCCAGTTCCAGAGCACCCGTGGCCGTTGGGAGTGAGTGCGGTTCCTGCGACCAACCCTTGCTAAACACACATTGCAGACACAGACACACATACACTCACAGACACACATACTCAAACACTCACAAATATTTATTTTTTAAATTAAAAAAGGTCCACCCAGCCTCCCTACCTGGAGAGCTGGCGTGGACCTGTCCCTGGGGGGAGAACACGGGGGCGGCATTTTTTTTTTTGTGGTAAATATCTTTTTATTAAACCTTTTCGTTTTTGTCGATTTTGCAACATGTCAAAGAGAAACGTGGACTCGCAGGTCCCTCTGGTCATTCACAGAAGCTTATACATCGGAAGGCATGTGATGACATACGTGTCTGGGCAACTCGCAGGTCGCTTTCTTGAGTAAATAGCATGTGTATTGTGGACTCGCAGGTCCGGTGTTACATGGTGGTGCTTAGTACTCTGTTATATCTGATATGTACCATTTCTACGTTGGGTGGTTTTGCATGCCCCACCGTGGTTGTGTTTTGTTTGTCTATTCCCCATGCCTACCCTGTAGCCTCTAGGCAGTAGTGAGACATGTGGCCATCTGGTGTGTAGGGTCCCTTCGGGACGTGCAGCCCCCCAGTGTCCTTGTGTCCAGGGTCCAACCTGGCCATATTGTGGGGTGTTCGTAGTATAATTTGGTTCTGCCCAGCGGCATAGGTGGTGTTGGTGGGAATAACCTAAGGGGCATCCTGCGACTCCCTCCAAACTAATGAGCTTTATAGCTCACAAAACAGGCGCTCTTCCACCCCCTTTACTCGCGAGGCCGCAGTCCGCCCCGAGCCCCGCAAGTGGTCGCACCCTAGCGGGTGTCGTAGCCCTCCCCGCACGCCCCCGCGCCGCACCCCGGGTCCCCCGAACCCGCGCTCCACCCCGCTCCGATAGGGGGCGGGGGTGAGGTATCGCGTTTTGGGCCAGGTGTGGATCGTCCCGCTAGTCTCCCAGCGTCTCCTCCTGGGGATTATCGGTTCCCTCCCCCCTGGTCAATTCAGGGGCGGATCCACAACCAAATCTCCGGAGGGGCACTTAAGTGGGCTAGAGCGGGGTGAAACAGGCTGCAGCGGAGGAATAGGGGACTCTTGTTTAGGGGATAGAGGCTGTACACATATGCGGCCACACACAGTGATATGGAAACACAATAACACAATAACACACATACACTGGCACACCCACAGATACAAACCTATACCTACACAGGCACACACACACACACACTGGCACATAGATACACACATACCTACACATGCACACTGGCGAAACCGCACACACACATCCCTACACATACACAGAATGACACACATACCTTCACATACACAGATACAAGGTAATAGAATATACAGGCATAACTCCAGGTACTGAAGGTGTATTTATTGGAGGGTAGAACACGTTTCAGCCCTTGGGGGCCTTAATCATGTTTAAGTCCCTCTAAGGCTGAAAAGTTGCACTTTTATGTGGTGTTCTACCCTCGAATAAATACACCTTCGGTACCTGGTGTGTTGCCTGTATATTCTATTACCTTGTATTGTTGGACGGATTAGCAGTGTCTATCTATTCCAGAGCACCTTTGAGGCTGTGGACCAGAGTGAAAAGCGGAACCTGAGTGCAGTGGACGACGTTGTCTGTGGTACACACACAGATACATACTCACAGATACACATTAACACTCACAGATTCACACACTGACACTCCGATACACACAGATGTCCACATACCTAAACATACACACTGTCCACATACCTAAACATACAGATGTCCACATACCTAAACATACGCACTGGCACACAGATGCACACATACACACTGACACACACAGATGTCCACATACCTAAACATACGCACTGGCACACAGATGCACACATACACACATACCTAAACATACACACTGACACACACAGATGTACACAGATGTACACATATCTAAACATACACACACAGATGTCCACATACCTAAACATACACACTGGCACACACAGATGTCCACATACATAAACATACACACTGGCACACACAGATGTCCACATACATAAACATACACACTGACACACACAGATGTCCACATACATAAACATACACACTGACACACACAGATGTCCACATACAAAACATACACACTGACACACACAGATGTCCACATACATAAACATACACACTGACACACACAGATGTCCACATACATAAACATACACACTGACACACACAGATGTCCACATACATAAACATACACACTGACACACACAGATGTCCACATGCATAAACATACACACTGACACACACAGATGTCCACATACATAAACATACACACTGACACACACAGATGTCCACATACATAAACATACACACTGACACACACAGATGTCCACATACATAAACATACACACTGACACACACAGATGTCCACATACATAAACATACACACTGACACACACAGATGTACACATACCTAAACATACACAAATTGCAGCTTCCATAATGTTAAGCACCCTCCCCTCTCCCCTCTGCTTAAATACCTTTTTCTTTGCAGGGAGGTGACTTCCTGAGGCTGGCTGAGCCTGATGGGAGTCTGAAGCTGCAGAGCTCTCTCTCCTCCCTCCTCCTTCTCTCCCAGCTGCCTGTGTCTTCTCTCCCAGCTGCATCCTGGGTGTTCTCAGCCCGCGCGGTCTGTATGCTGGGAGGAAGTAACAGTCACTTCCTCCCAGCACTCCCTGCAACTTTAAAGGGGCCCGGTCTGCCAAAGGGCTGCAGCACCCGACCGAGCCCCTAATGAGGTCCCTCAACTGATGGCAGCTGCACTATTTTCTCGGGGGGGGGGCAATTGCCCCGTTGCCCCCCCCCTGGATCCGCCACTGGGTCAATTGCATAGTCCGAAATGCCTCTGTACCCACCCGTGCCAACCAGGGTGTCCATGTGTCTAAGTATGTCTGCGTTCGGTCTTGGGCGGGGGTGGCATTTTTTGTAAAAAACTGTAAAACAAAAGTGCATGAACGCCGTTTCCACGCGTTCCTGCAGGACTCGAGCACTGCATTTCTGTGCATGTGTGCCTTGTCAGTGTCAGGTAGATAAAATGAGTACCATTAAATTGGGTATTAGTAACAACCCTTGGATGTTGGGCTAAGGTAACGACCCCAGGACATACTTAAAAACCAGAGTAATCTGAATGTATCTTTCCTGGTTAAATACTTTGTTGTTATTTATGGAATATATGCAATATCCAGTATGAATTGAAACTATGATTGGCCAATAGATGGCAGTGTTACCACTTACATTGATCCTACAGAAGCCTGGGTGACTATATTTTAAGCAGCATGTTCCTGGAAATTCTGATTTACCATGCTCTGTTTCTGTTTCGAAAGGATTTTATATTTCCCTAATGTATGCTGGAAAGCCATTTCTGAATTTAATATTTTATTTTTTTAATTTTATATGTTTTTGCTGTTTCTTGGAAGGACTGGTACAGTCACTTTAACTATCATTATGCATCATTATTTCTTTACTGGACTGCGACTGCATCACTTTTATTTCCTATTTTAACCCATTACACTCACCAATTTGTCTTTTCTAAATGAGACGGGTAGTTTAACAAAGCCATTTGAAGAAAACCAAAGTTCTAAAATGAATATGCTAACCCATTAAAATGTAATTGGCATAAGATTATTAAGAACTTACAGAACATTTGTAAAAATATTTATTTTATATAGAAATTATTTTACCAGGAAGAATACATTGAGGATATATCACTGTCAGTCAGTTATGTTTCTCTTAAACGAACATTTCTCTTAAACAGGGCTGGTAATTTATTCCATTACACATTATGAGATCGTTGGGCACTGATCCTTTACACCATTAAACATGGCATTGTCATTAGATCACTTGGATTGATCCTTTAACCATGAGACATGTCACTGTCATTAGTTCACTTTTTACTCGTAACAATGACAGACCCTCTTACACATTAACCACGTTCATGAACACATTCATGTTGTTGGCTTCAGATCTTCCCTTACATTAACCAGATCTTTCTTTGCAAAAATTCCCGCCTGCCCTGAAGCGTGGCTCTGTGCTCGGCCCTAAAGGGCCATGACTCACCCCATAAACCATACATGTTTAAGGGATACCAAGGGATCATTAAGTTAGTTGTATCATCTGTTTCCATACACACAAAGGCGGATTTTGT